AAACCCCGGGCTATGCGCGTACTTTTAGTAGAGCTGAACCAGTCTGACAAGAGCAGTCTCAATGGCCTTGCGGAGAAGAGGCACGCCACCTGGGCCAACTCGAGGATCATTCGATCTAAGGGCTTGGGCCTCTGACTGCCGCACTCACGCGGAGCAGCAGGAAGGCGACCTGCATTCTGCGCAGAAGATCCCAAGCGTCTCAGCAGGTCTCGGCTCATCTCAGCTCAGGCTGCGGCAAAGCAAGGAGATGCCTCCGCTCCGACGCACGGCAGCTGCCAGCCACACGAGTACAGCAGGCTCCCAAGGCCAGTGCCACGGAGAGAAGCTCCCATCCTCTGAGAGTCGTTGAGCAACTAAGGAAGAGGCCTGAAGTGACCCTTCGAGCTGCAATTCTCAACACGAAGTGTGAATTGCGCTGAGCAGCAGACCCCACCACATGCAAATCCTGCATCTCTTCTATTCTAGAAGCCAGTCGTCTGAGCTCAATGTGCTCAGTCGCCAGCTCGCCAAAGTAGTTCGGATGTTGGGCCAGTTTCCACAAGCCCGTCTGAATCCAAAGGCCTTTGTTCCTCGGGTCTGCCTCCGAATTCAGAGGGCGCGGTCACAGCTCCTAGGATGCAAAGTCCCCTGGCCTGGAAGAGTCTCTTCTGCACGTCTGCAACGACCTCCGAACGTGGGCTCGCTCGTGGCTCGCACGAAACGAGGGAAGCTCTGCCGGCCGTGCCTGAACGGTGAAGCCAGCTCCCCATAGACTCCAGCCCAGAATATCCCGCCAGCAAACCTCGGCGGGTTCGATGGCCTGTTCTTTTGGGATACATGGCTTCACTAAGGCCAGCACCTTCTCTTTCCCGCGCCTCTGCAGGCCTTCTTCAAGCTCGGCCTGTGCTTCTTTCTGACTTCAGTGCACTCGCCGAGACGCGTCAGCCCGTCAGAGGCCTCTGTGTTCGGCTTGCTGTTGGAGAGGTACACAGGGAGGGCGGTCAGAAGAATCCAGACTGCCTTCTGGGGTCGGAGTCGTTGTTTCTCTCGTCGAAAGTGCGCAAGCCCCGCTTACCAGACCTGGACAGCCCAGAAAACGAAGAATTTGCTGGGATGCATCTTGACCTCACTGCGCAGTTGTTGCCAATCAAAGTTCGGACACGACATGGCTCAGACAAGGCAAGGACCTTCTCAAATCGGCTGTCGCCTCCGTCATGAACCACGCGCCACAGCAGAAAACCTCGCAAGAAGCTGCAAGAGCTTCAGAAAGCAACATTGGCATGCGGAACATGCGAGAAACCCCATGAACGAAGCTCCAAGGCTGGAGATGCAGCAACCCGTCTACGTGGAATTCCCTCTCTGTGCTGCTCTTCCGTTTCTCTGCGGGGACAATGTAGTAATTAGCCCTCGAAAAGCCCGGATGTCAACCGACCTTGCTTGTGCGCCAGGCCCTGCTCCGAAAGGTCAAGCAGATTAGCAGAGTCTACGTGCGGCAATGCTTTTCCACATCGCCTTGACAAAAAATTCGCATGAGTGCATGTGGCTTGGTGCTGAGCTACGCATTGACAGCAACAGGATCATCATGCTCTAGCTGTGCCCGGCACTGCCCAGGCGCAGGGCCCATGCCTCAGCACATCCATGCTGACAGCAGTTTCTACATCTCAGCTCGTGCTGTGGCGACATGGAGGAATCGGAATGATGTCAAAGGTCCGTGGATGGTGAGAGTCCGGGCTCTGGGCGATGACGAGACCAGAGTTGACTTTGCACCTCTGGGGGCGGCTCTCTCTTTGGGCGCTAGGGAACTGCTTGGCATCCGCGTGGCCTCGTGGATCGGCCGCCAGCCCGAAAGGAGAGGAGAACGCAGAGCACGTACGTCAAACTGTCACGGCTCCCGGCTCGGCTTCTTCAGTCGCAGCTCTCTGCCCCTTCCTCTCTACTTCCCCACCTGGCAGAGATGTCGTAGAACTTCTCTGTTTGAAGGGCAGCTGCTACTGCAAAGCAGGCAAATTGAACCTGCCCATCGGCCACAGAAATTCTCGGTCAAAACAGAATTGCCGGGGAGCCGAGGCTCCGGCTGACATGTCTACTGCAGCCACCTCGGAAGGTGCAAGGAAGTCGGCGAATTGTCAGATAATTTCCAAAAACATAGGGCCCCTGCTTGGCCGAGCGGGCCCAGGGAGCTCATTGGCGTCCCCATTCGGGAGGCTGCCCGGCGGGCCAAGAGCGAAGAAAGTGAACTAAAAGGCCGTCCTATCATAAGGAGGCCTTGAGATTTGAGCACTCGCTCAATTGCTGCTCGGTGCTGGGGCTGTTCTTCTCCAAGCCTTTCTTTCTTGGGGGAAGCAGGACAGAGTCTCTCCCCCTCTTCGGCGGAGGTGATCATGCTGTCTTGGTGCCTCCCTCGCTCTTCTCCAGGAATGTGGCGTGACACAGTGCTCGAGCATCCAATGCTGTTAGTTTTGAGGACCCGGGCAATGGCTACAAACGTCCAGAAAATTCTCTGCAGAGTGAAGTTCAAGTTCCGTTGGCTCTGTGCACATCCCAGAACATTCCTGCCTCCTACACTGAAAGACCGACCTGAAATCGATAACGTGCCTGAGGTGTCCGCTAGCGGTTTGTCATGGGAACAACCAGAACCCAAATCTGTTGATCAAACAGAAATTTGCGATAGCGAGCGGAGGGACATTGCACGACAAACGGTTCGCATCCCTCAGGCCCCTCGGTTCTTTGGCCCTTTTCAGATCTCATTCTCCGTTTCCCTGGGTCCCTGTCCTTCTCACGACCTTCAGAAACCGTGGGCTTCTTTCTGGCTGCAGCTGTGCTTCCTGTTTTTGTGCTGGCCGAGCTGTCTGTGCTGGCGAGGGCTACACCAAGGAATTGTCCTCACCTAGTGGCTCTATGGGTGGGATATGCGGATACGCTGTTTCTTTCCAATGTGCTCCCCAAGGTCACTCTGCGTGACTGGAACTTCACATTACTAAGGCTGATCTGGATGCAGACAACACGGATTTTGCCGAAGCTTGTGTTTTTTCCCAAAGCTGGGTTCAAGCGATCTCTCATACTTGGCAGCTTTGTGCGATACGGCTTCTCGGACACACCTTCTAAGATCTTCTTGAATACACTCTCCCGCCCGAGGGAAGGGTTCAAGATAGGTCCAGTTCAGAAAAGCACCAGGAGACTTCTCCCGCAAGCAGGGAGTCAAGGTCCCGTTTGCACTGCTGTAGGACTCTAGGATCTTTGCAGTGCCCTGCCACTGGCGCTGTGAACTCTTTTGTCCTCGCATGTGCGTCGGGTATGGGCCCTAGTCGAGGAGGATACTCTGGAGACTGCACATCTGCCACGACTTTGTACAAAGAAGCACTCGGCGGGGCCATGACGTGAGAAAGATTAAACTGATGGTGGCCTCCCGCCCTTAGAGCCTTGGCCTGCCTGTTTAGGCGGCTCACTCGGCAGCTCTGCCTCTGGCTCTGGCTTGGCCTTTGCGTCCTCTGCGTCCTCTGCCTTCCCATCCCCACGTGTCTCTGTGCCCGACAGCTTCGTCAAGGGCTTCCCTGCCCCTCCAGACCGACTTGAGCTATCTTCAGCCTCATCGGACGGCTTTGCATCCGGCAGCCCTTTGCCGCGGTCGGTACCCGTCTTGGTGGCCGGGGAGGGCTTCGGACTCCCAGTCAGCTGAGACCGGGAGTCCCGGTCAGGCTGCTTCTTTAACACCTTTCGACTGGCCATCTTCGCCTCGTGCTCGACTTTCTTCAAAGCCCCTTTCTCCACTGGTGCCTCTGACGGAGATGCCTTGGAGGCCATGTCCTCCACAAGCTCGAGCTCCACCACCTCTGACTCCGCCTCCTTTGACGCCCTGTCCTCCACAAGCAGCTCCACCACTGGTGCTGCTGACGATGAGCCATCAGACTCCGCCTCCATGTCCTCCACCTCCACAAAGATCACTTGATTCTTCTCTGTTTCCTGCCGCGCTGAGCGAGTGGAGACATACGAATGTGAGAGCATGTCCAAGCACTTTGTTGGCTCTCGCTCGCGATTGCATCAGGAGAGGCTTCAGGAGCAACAAGCAACACGAGTTTCGCGCTAAACAGCAATGGCTCATGTCGTACATCCTGCACGAGGAGTCTACAAGAGAGCATCCTAATAAAGAGCATCAGAGGGCACAGAGGCACAGAGGGCGGGGGGTCTTCTCCTGCGCGTCATCCTCAGCCTCCTCGTCGCTCTTGCCATCTTTTCCACTCCGGAAAGCTTCAACTGAGAGAACCCTGCGGTCATCTACGCTTGCAATCTCGAAGCGGATCATTTCCGCTGCCGTCTCCACCATTACAACTTCCCCAATTACAGGAATTCGGTCAATGGTCATGCACATAAACCCTCCGATTGAGTTGTAGTCGCCGTCTGGCATCTTTATTCCGAGGATCTCCTCCACGTCGCCTATCTCAGCCAGTCCACTCATGGAGAAGTGATCAGGCCCCAGCCTCAATGGGCTGGAATGTCGGAACTCAAATACATTAGGAACCACGGCATCAAGCTCAAACTTTCAACCATTACACTTGGTGCTGCTTGGCCAACTCCTACCAGCTCCACCAAACTTGCCACTTATATGACGAGGCAGGTTTGTCCGAGCCCAGACACACTTGGATTTTGGCGCTATTCTGCTGCTTCTCGACCCTGTCCTTTTCCTCATCCGGATCGTATATCTCACCAACAATCCTCAGAAGCGATAGCCATCCTGCTATGCACGCCTCAAGCTGCGCGATCCTATGTGAACTGGCAGTGAATCTACACAGGCATCATGCAGGGGCTTAGGTCCAAGATCTCGACTGTCCCGACCAAGCCTCTCTTCCAAAACGTCTTCCAAAGTGATCAGTCCGGTAGTTCCCCCATACTCATCCTGCAGCGGTCGGTTCAGGCCATGCCCAATTTCACCAGTTCACAGTACCAGTAGATTAGCAGATAAAGCATGTTTACATCCATCCCCTCCGATGCAACCGCCCGCATTGGACCCAAGACCCCATTGATACCCTCTCTGTCCAAGCACGAACTGGACCGGGCAAATCAGAAAATACAAGCAAAGAGTAAACCCGTGTCCACGCAGATCGCCAGTGTCCGCTCTTTAAGCAAACGCAGGGCGGAGATCAGTGACATCGTCTCCTCAGCACCAGGGCACATGCAGCAACGGCCACAACGAGCTTTGTGCACTCATCGCTTCTAGAAGGTTTGGACTGCTCTAACACTTTTGCTTCTCGGATCTGCCGCCAGGATGCAGGCACGAAGACGGGCACATCACAGATCTCTTGCACTTTCTTTGTGTTGTCGCTGACAAAGTCTTGCAAACAATTAGCGTTCTTCAACAATGTCTTCATACTCACCACGCCTTGGTTTGGTGGATACAAGATCACGTGCAACACATGTAAAGTAAACAACGAGGTGGTGCAGCCATTGAATCTGGCATGACTTGATGCATCGCGTCTCGTTGCCGCCAAATCACCGACGATGTTGTCAAAGCGGACTTCATACACAGGAATTCTGCTGAACCTGGCTCCCCGTGCAAAAGCCGGCGAATGCTTCTAGTACTGCGGTTCCATCTAAGGTTTGCAGCCATGAGGCTGTGTCTCCTTGATGACATTGTGAAGCTTGGAAATGGGCTCCTCGGACTCGATGCAGATCATGTCGACCAGTGGCGTCATGATCTCCTCGGGAATCAGAAGATTGTACAGGCATGCTTCGATGCGAACAGACAGAGGACGTCTCTGCTTGCATCGATTTGCAATCCCCGTTCCGGCCTTGATTCGCTTGCTGTCCAGGTTGCGGACGCTTCGAATCATCTCACCCTCCTCTGCGTCCACAATGCCGCTTTGCATCGCGGATCGGAAGACCAGATCTAGCTCCTTGGCAATACCATGGCAAACCCCCATTTTCGGAGAAACTTACTGCGATGCGGATGCAATTGCACAGCTGGCAGCTGGGCTGGATGCTTCCTCTGAAACGTACGGAGTCTTCTTGGTGTCAACCGGTACTCCGCACATCGCAAGCAGGAGCGACATGGCCTCAGATGCACGGGACATCAGTGACTTCACCACTGCCTGTTGACTCGAACGATGCAGCGCTTTCATCGCCATGCGCTTCGAACATGTGGCCTCATTCAAGACCTTGCTGACCGGGTAAACGACGGTTGAAATCCTGCCAAATCTATACGATCCAAGCAGTTTCCCCTCCTCTGGTGAGCAGATGAGCCGGACCTATAGAAGATTGGCAGCGTAGCTTGTGCGAAGTTGTAGGGATTTGAAACTGCCATGCTCTTCGGCAGGATCTCCCCCAACCTTGGAGATTTGCAACGTGCGGGATGTGCGGAACTACGCCACACTTGCAAGCCTTTGGGCACAAGATGTGCGTGATTCTTGCCCGCTCGCGCCCGCTGTCCCTCTCTCCATTCCATGACACTGATCAGCCGGTGGGTGAGGGTTCTCTGTGGACATCTGCTGTACACTATGATTGGCTTTATCCGCGGACCCTGCATGTTCTCAACAAAGTAACAACAATGCGTAAGAACATCGGCATGATTCATCAGCCGGCCCGCATCATGCCGGGAAAACCAAGCGAGCACAAAAAGCATCCGGCAGTACAGCTCTTGGAAGTACCACAGGCGTCGCAAGCACGAGCCAGGAACAGCAGCAGCAGCAGCAGCAGCAGATGGCCGACACGCTGTGAAACTCAGAGAGAATTATGTGTGTGGCTAGCGATCCTCCACCGTCCTGGTTTCTAACTCGGCTTTCTGTCCTGGCCCACCCCGGGGGAGTCGAGGGCCGGGCGTCAGCTGCACCAAAGTGACTGACACAGTGGCCTCGCCATCTCGTACTCAGCAGCGTCATCGTGCACAGGCATCCATTGAGGGCAGGAAAGCTACCAACCCATGAGGACCGCACGATTCCTAGCCCACGAGGCCCGAAAAGCTGTCCGCAGATTTCCGTGATGAAGGCAGTGCTTACGACGCCTCGCCAGCCAACCACTACCGCTCCAACGAATCTCAACGAAAACAGATTTCAGCTCTAAGCATTACAAGACAGCAGTGCAGGCGGGTCACCGGCCAACGTAGCCCCAATGAGGATAGTCTGCATGAATCGCTGAATGTCCTCCCTCAAGGCAGTCCATTTGCCAAGCTGCGCCTCTCGCTGACACATGCATTTCATGCAACTCATCACCCACCACCATCACCAACTCCCGCCGTGGATCTTCAACTAATTCGCTATGCTCAAGTCACTGGCATTCACCACTGCATGTGGGTGAATTTGCACTTTGGAAAGGCCGCTGGCCCACCCTGGTTACATCTGCCAGTCTGGTTTGTAGTGCTTTCTCTGCAGTCTCCCTAGAGCCTTTCAGCGCTGTCTGAAGCTCTTAAGAATGCATCGCTTGCAAGCTGACGCTGTATGTGGGCAGTTGACCGTGTAAGTGTAAGCTTTGGCCAAGGACTCGGGCTTCTGCAAGCACAAACGCCTCGATTCTCTCATAGGGGTCATGTCGAGTACAGTCCAAAACTGAAGCACAAATGCGATCACTAACATGTGCCCGATTGCCAATGAAGGCCATGAGTGAATTTGCAGATTGTAGGCCAGTCGCAGGACGGAGGCAAGTTGAAGGACAAGGAGGATTCGATGCAACGAAAGCGCATTGCGGCGTTTGCGAGACGATCACAGCTATGGACAGGCTTTGTCGTTTGCTCGGCAGGAAGCCTGCCAACGACCTTTTTTAGGATGGTCAATCGTCCTGTGCCGGGGACGACATTGCACCTCGCATCAGCACAAGTGGCGCCTTGGCATTGATCTCAGGACCGCCACCTTCACGACTCTCCTTGACCTTCTGCTCCGCCTGCGACAATAAAAAGGCGGGATGCCTAAGGGAACTTGCGATGTGAGGGACTGTAAAGCTCCCACGTCCTTCTCGTACTCGCGCTGAGCATACTCCCGAACTTTCCAAGGCCACAAAGTGGTGATTGCAGTTTCTGTGCCGGCGCAGACAGCAAAGGCAATGAACGCGACGGATGAAAAGGCCAGGTCAGCGGCTAAAGATCCGCAAACACCGTGATATGCACGTGCCCTGTCGGTGAAGGTGTCCAGAGGCTGAGCTGATCCCCATTTCGCCAGGCGGTAGATGGCAAAGCAGGCTGAGGCTCCTGGCAAACAGCCACTCACCCCGCGAGCTACGTGACACTACGTGAGCACACGTGACCCCCGCCTAAGACCAGCAGCCGAACGCGATGCCAGTTGACGACGGGCTTCGTGCCTGCATCCAGCTCTTGCCTTAACATCTCCGTCTTACCCATCGAGAATGCCAACCAGCCTCCTTTGGAAGGCACTGCATTGGCCCGTCTTGCTAGGCGAGACCTGAAGGGGTCATGTGGGGATTCCTCTTTTTGTTTCTGCCCCACCCTCAAAAATCCTGCGCCACTGCCACGCAACCAGGACGACGGGAGCAGCTTGCAGGACGTGCAGGCGGCTTTGCCAGCTTGATCGCTGCGTGTAAACGGCTTTCTCCAAAACTGGAGGAGCAGCCACACCGAATGAAGCGCTGGCAGTGCTTGCACTGCTACTGCCACGCAGCTTCTCTCTAAGCTCGCATGCTGTCCATGGCGTGGTAGGACTCAACATCTCGAGTGACCTCTAGTGTCGTGCTGTTGCAAAGGGGTCTGTGGACTGCGACGTTTTGTATGTTCATCCGATTTCCGTCCTTGCGCCCTTCCAAACGCGAATTCTGCTCCGAGGTTGCCTTGGCTCATCGGGGGATGCGTCAAGACCCTTGGAATGAGTGTGGTGTGGTAGCGCGTGCAGCTGTCTAGATCTCTCTAGACTAGAGCCACACAAGATGTCCACAAGCATTTGCTGATGGCTGCTAGACGAACAGAGGCGAACAGGCTGCTTCGTAGGAGACTTTTTGGAGCTCAGAATGCAGTGTGACGCAAGTGGCTTGGCCCATTCCTGGGCCACCCGTCAACCGAATTCCTAATTCGTGAGCGCCTACCACCCTCAGCAGCAAGAGGTTGAACTGCGATGTTGCTCTTGGTGCCACAGAACCCATGCAGTCACGGTGGCATCATCACCACTCCTGCGCATCAGCAAACGGCATCCTCCAGGCCCATGGGAGAGTCGCGCTCTTCTCCGACACCAGAATCTCGGGTAAATCTCTGGGTGGGCCATTCTCCGCAAAGAAGGGCGGCCAGCTGATGGCTGGCTCCATTCGGGGTCTCCGCGCAGCCGGCTCTGCAAACCCCTGGAGGCTTGATAAAGTCGTCCTGACTGCATTGAAGGATGGAGACGCGGAAAGGCTCCGGTCGAGTCCAGCGAATGGCAGCAGATCTTGAGATGTCTGGGACTGAGGCCTTCTGGGATGCGGTGTGCTCAAGGACATGTCGTTGAGGCGCCAAGCACACGGAAGGTCACCATGCCCTTCACGCAAGATGTCCGGAGGAAGGTCCAGGCAATCCAGTGCCCTCCTCCGCTTTCTGGCCATGGGCTCTCCCATGGCTCGCACAGGAACCGTCCTCGGAGCCGTTGCTGCGGCTGAGCAGCTTCCCGCATCGTGCAGTGAAAATGCCAGCAGGACATCAATCAAGCAGGGTGCGCATTTTCCTGCAGGGCACTGGAAGACTTCTGAAGGTCGCAACTTCCTAGGCCACAGCCATTGGTCAAGGCCGTATCGCCTCATCGAGCCAGCTCCAGTCGCTTCCAGAGATCCTGCACCAGGCGCCGCACACGGACACCGAAGAATCGCTGCTGAGCCCCTCCTCCAAGTCCATGAACTTGTCAATGTCATAATGGCTTGCACCCTTGACCTCGCCGAAGGGAAGGGCACAAACAGTTTCGACGACGGCAAAGCGGGTGCCATGCGACATGTGTGTGGGCGCGGCCGCCCGCTTCCTCCCAGAGAGCACCCTCCACTAGACTCTGTCACACAGGCTTCAGATGCCCACCCAGACCTTGAGGGATTCCTTGATGCCTCGGAGATACTCGCGATGGCCTGGGAAAGGGCTCTGGAGCGATGTGGGGACAAAGCCGAGCAGAGTGCCGAGGCCAAGGCCAAGTTCATCCTGATCGCCGACGTAGAAATGGATATTCTCCATGTTTCTGAGGGCCTCGGAGCAGAAGGCAAGAGTCTGCAACAGCTCAACAGGTCTCGTGATGCCAACATCCCCACCTGGACCTCGCAAAGCTGCGGCAGAAAACCCTGGATGAGCGTCAGGGAGCCCTGAGTTTCCGCACGTCCACATTTTTCGGCATCAGGCATTCAATTGCTCGGAGGTCGACAACTTGCTCGGGGACTCTGCAGGCCAAGGACAGCAAGGCAGCCGCACCTCATCGTACATGTCACTGGCCTTGCCAAACGGGTAACCCGAGGCGGAAACCATGGCTGATGCCCACGAGGTGGAACACATTGCCTTGTGAGTCTTGAAAGTCAATTTATGCTTCAACTCCAGTCCCTCTGAGCAGCGTACTCATGGCTCCAAAGGGGCTGATGTCACTCTCTCGATCCTCCAGCACAGCCTGCAACCGCATTGTCGACTGAAAGGCCCGATCTCTGGAATCCCTCCTTCCTTCATAAGCTGCTCCAAGATAGTCTGGCCGGCCCTGAGAGCATCGCCGCCGCTACAGCTTGCAAGCAGCTTGCAGCAACTTGCAGACGAGGAGCGGCTCAAAGAAGTCAGGACTGTTCGCCGTGCGCATTGGCACCAGCCTCTGCGGCACGAAAGGTCATCAACAACCCTCGCTCTGAGCGAAGAGCCGGGACTTCGGCAGTTGCCATCCGTGTTCTTCCGCGCGCAGAGCTCGGAAAAGCTTTGCGATATGACCTGATGCCGCAGGGTCCATGGAAGCTCCAGGACCTTCACCAGACCTTCACCCTCTTCTGAGACCGCGGCGTTGCTCGCCTCTTGAAATCGCCAGGATGGTAGGGATCGGCCGCCGGGAGTCCTGGAGACTGAGACAGAGTTTGCTCAGCCCTTTAACTTCCTCCGACTCTCCGAGTTCCCTTTCTCCTGGCTTTTTGGAGCGATGATTCCCAGCTCTATGGAGCCCGCTTGCAGCTCCACCTATGCAAACTTCCCTTACATATCTCTCGCACTGAGTTCTTGCCCTCTTGCAAGCGGCCGAAGGCCTGCTTTACGAGAAAAGGCGAGAATTTCCCAGACTTTTCCTCGTCTCTGCCTTTTAGACACATTGACACTGCAACTTTCCACAGTTGCAGTCAACGGGTCCCTGGCTCAATCGAGGGCTTGCTCTTCGACCTTCACGCTGGGCCTTGCAGGGATATCTGCACATGGGGGGGGTGCATGTCTGACGCTGCTCTGGCAGTCAAGCCTTGTCATACGACTGTTGAAGCCGCTCTTGTGGTGAAAGCCCTGCTTGGTGGCTCATGCTACTACTCGGCTACTCGATCAGGAGCTTCGTCGACCCGCAAGCTGATCCTTGCCCTCTTCCCGAAAGCACGTTGAAGTCTCCTGCTCGACTCTTGTAGCCAGCCGCCCCTGCCGGCGCCTTGGCTGTCTTCTCAGCCCGTCTGCGACTTCGTGGACATTTGAGCGCGGCACATCATACTTGGGGTTTGTCAAGAAATCGTTCATGAAGGGTCCTGCAACATCAGCGCATACGACCTGCCAAACGAGTCCCACTTCCCCTGCGCCAGTCCAATATCCACGGGCGTCCGCCCTTCGTGAGCCACCTCACCATGGAGGAAAGACGCCACTTCCCCTCCTTGCTGCCTTGCTGGAAGAAACCCACCTTCAAGTACTCATCGAAGGAGAATATGTTGTCGGCTCTGAGGGCCTGCAGGAAGTTAAGTCCCAAGCAGTCGCAACTGGTAAAATTCTGAGCTGCCTTCGTCTGACCGTCCCCGAGGATCACTCCCCAGCGCCTGGGCTTTAAGCCATGCTCTGTCCCGTCAGCATCGCAAACTCAAGCACATCCGCGCGGATTGGAACACTTTCAGAGCCCTTCGCCCCGTCTTTTCATCAAAACGGGCGCATCGCCCCAGCCTTAAAACTCATCACTTAGTCAAAATGAGAGCTCTGCAGGTTCCGGAGCTGCTTTCTGAGGCTTCGGCTGCCCGTTGAGCCGGGAGCCTTCCGGGCTTTGGAGGCCGCGAATGCGCACCAGCCTTGATGCATAAGGCCTTCTTAATTTACCCTTTGTTGGAGGGAAAAAGTTTGGACCGAGAAGGGGACAAAAGAAGAGTTAAAGAGGAGGGTAATAAACAGATGTCCAGCGATAGACTAGCAGCTGGCAGCGAATTAGGAAACCGTCTAGAACGGAACAAAGCCGCCAAGTTTGTGCGGCATGACGCTGCGGGAACTGGCCGACGCATCTGCCAAGCTCCAGCATGCAGCATGCACAGGCAGGCTTCTGCAAGACATGTTGCAGAGCCCTCAAAGACCAAGTCCCTGTAGATGGCAACTCGTTTGAAGCTGAGATCCCAGCACTCCTCGCCGGAGGCACGTCTCCGGGTCCTCCCTGCACTCTGAAGCCGGCAGTTGTCTCTCCTCCCTCCACCTCTCCCTCTGAGGCCGCGGCGCAGGAGCCATGGCCCAAGGCCACAACTCAAAGCTGCGAGAGACAGAAGCCGCAAGCCGTCGCAAGCAGCACCACACCTCCTGCACACCTCCTGCACACCTCCTGCACACCTCACATGAGAGCTAACAAGCTCCCACCTGCAAGCGATCTTCATTGCAAGGGATGGTCTCTTCTCACTGCACTTGCATCAGCGACTTCATGAAAAGACTCGAGAGCGCGGCTCAATTAACAGGCCATGCCCAGCCCAGGATTACGGGCAGCGGGTGGCATTAATTCAAAAGATTTTCAAGCCGTACCTGCCTTTGCAGGACAGCCACATGTGCTGTGTTGCCTGCTCTTCTGGGAAGGGTTTGTTGTTTGATGCTTAACTTCGCTTTGTTGCGCAATTGGCAGGTCTCAGATTTCCGCCGACAACCGCTGCGGGCTGATGACCGCAGCAACATCGCCCCAACGGTCGGCGGCAGTCTCCTGCCGTCTCTGGTGGAAATCCTGATATGACAGCCCAGAACTGACATTAAAAGAGCGCCATGCCATCGGAGCGAACTGGATCAGGCTCAGATTGAATGCATCCATGACAAGCAGAACGAAAGCAAAATTGGGAGTGAGTCAGAATCAAAAAGCACAATGTGAGAAAGCACGAAGCGGAGTACGATGCCAAGATCAAATAGCTATGAAAGGTGAAAGGCCATGTGTTACCAGCACGCAACAAACCTCAGTGGGCAAAGCACGCCCTCTCTCTCGCACGGAATGGAGCCTTCGAGCCGAGAATGCAAAGCACAAAACTGGAGTAGAAACACACAACAAAAGCAAGTACGAGTGCGGTCCGAAGAAAACAGCGTGTAGAACCAGCTGAGCACAAAGGAGCACCCCGGCGTTGGCGGCCTCCGCGCCAGTGCCAACCACGGGGATTTCCGCCGGCATTACCTTCACGAACAACCCGTGCCCCCCGTGGACCCCAGTGGCACTGGCACATACTGGCACCTGCACCGGTCCAGCCAACTCTGCCTCGAGTCTCAAACGAAGTTTCAAGGCTGAACGCATGCTTGGCCCGGATCTTGGGCCAGGGCGTGGCGGACTGGTGGCTCTGCCTCGGCTGGTCTTTGCAAGATGAAGAGTCTGAGCCCGTGAGTGAGCCAAGCCAGAAGCTTTCCAAGAAATTGAGCCGCAAGCGATGCTCGGCGAGGCGGCGGAAGCTGGAGCCTGGACTGTGAAAAACCAATGCGGCCTTAAATGATTCAGCAGAGCGCTCTCTCAGCTGCGCGCAGAGGTCCAGGGACTCCCTTGCGTCAGCCTTCCACGTTATGCATGGTACATACAGCTTCGTGCGCAATGCTCGGCCAGGTGACATGCCTGGCGGCCCAGGCCACATGCAGCATAGCCTCTCGCCGTGGATCCTGCGATATCAGATGGAAACTGGGCAGAAGAACAGCCCATGGCCTGACCGGCCTGGCCGGCCTGACCCAGAGGACCGAGGGCCATGGACGGCGCCATGTGGCCGAGACCGAACTCCGGGGCCATAGCAAAGCTCTGAAGACCTTGCGGGTGCCCGGCTGGAACACGGAGACAGAGACCAGAGCACGTTGAGCACGGGACCGGAAGCGGACGAAGCCGGCCTCGGTTCGCACAGGACCCAGCACACCGGTCTCGACAATGTAAGCACAAAGCCGCCGACAGGGAGAAAGAACCCGGCTGCGCATGCCATCCTGCTAGTTGACGGCTACAATCCCAATCGCGATCACAATCTCGGTGCCTTGCCTGTAAAACTCTCCGAAGATGGCGGATGCCCGACCTGCCCCTTACAGCATCCGATTCAGTTCTTCACAAAGTGGTTCGGAACAGTCTGGACTACCCTGCTGCCGAAGGCACGCCAGCATGTTGTAGAGGCACCTCCTCACGGGCAGGGCCGGGCGGGAAACCAACAGCTTTTATTCTCAGGAACGCACCCCTCCCACCTCTTGGGTTGCAAGCGGCACGTACCGGAATGACCTGACAGAATAGGGTTCCTCTGTCTCTTGGAATGCGAAGCAGAGCTGTGGGATCCGGCTCCTGGGTGAGGAAGGATGGCAATGCCTGGCAAATGAAGCAAAACTTGAGACATTGGCCATGAAAAAAGAGAGGTCAGCGGTGGGCTGTTCCCCAGCTGCCGAAGCCACTGATGACTTCTTATACTCATCTTTTACTACAAGACTCGCCTCCCCGTATCTGATGTATCAACTGACCCCCTCCCTCCCGCACCCACCTCCCCACTCCCACCTCCATCACCTTTTCACCCCGCTCCTCACAAAAAGATCGACCATCCCTCTTGCACCCCGCCCTCCCTTCCACATTGATTGATACTATCCCTGATACGCTGCTCTCTGGCCCTAGTATGCCCGACTGCAAAAGCAGACTTAACTCAAGCACAGCTCTGCGGGCATTTGCGACATCTATCCGCCGCACATCGTTCGGCACGCGTGGAGGCAGCGCGCATGGATGCACAGCGGCACATTGTCTAGAGTCTTGTGGCTTGCTCCTTGCATTGAGCAGAGGGCCGGATGTGGGGTGTAGGAGAGCAGGCGGGGAGTACAGTACTCTCTTGCGATGCCCTGATCCCACCCTGTTTCCGTTGCATGGTTTCCTGTGCAGTTCAGGCTTTATGCATTGGTAATACTGCTATGCGCAGCAGGCCTGACACTACAAGGAAACATCATCGTATGCCTGACCAATGTGGGGAAAGAGCCAAAGACCCTCTCCATGCACCTCAGGCGCAGCCGTTTGCATGCACTGCATGCACTTAGACTCAGACCATGCATGTGGAGATTGACGATGATCGCACATGGAGCCACACACGGAACAAGGTCGCGACAGCGCCGGCCCCAGTCGAGTCTGGAAGTCCTCTGGTTCCTTTGCTTGCGGATGGCCTCGACAGTTGCAAAGGGTAAGGATTCGGGGAGGTGTTGGGCTCGCGATTGCCACATGACCCCTGATAGTCTCTTCTTTGACCCATGCCACCAGAGCCTTCCCTCTTGCACGGAATGCGCTCAGTGCACTTTGTCACGGTGCGCTTTCCGAGACGAAGAGGCTCGTCCCAGCGGGCTCATTTCTTCTTGAAGAGGTCGCGAGCATCGAAGAGCGGCGTCGGTGCAGATGGTGCACTCGGCCCAGTCGGCTCTCCGAGGGATGTCAAAGAGTCCGGCTCGAGGCCTGCGGCCGAAGCTTCCCTTTCGCCACTGCCCTAAACCCTCTTCCCTCTTCTCTCTTCTCTCTTTTGCGGCTGTCCCGGCCTGGCTTCGCCCCCGGCATCTTCATGAAGGAGTCGAGCACATCAGCGTTCCTCTCCACGGCCCACTCAGCCTGAAGCCAACTCAAGGCACGCTGCATGTGCGTACTGTGTCACCAACTCCTACACGAGACCCGGAAAAACAACTGCAGGATGGGCAGCGAAACGTTCAGCCGGGTTTTTGTCCGCATCCTTTGTGATGCGCTCGTTGTCTGCATCGTAAGTCTCCGTGGAGCCAAAGCCATCGCCAGCAGCACAGTCATCCTTCGCATGGCGACAGGATGTGACGAATGTCACAGGCAGAACCACAGGCAGTCAACAGATTCCTGGCAGCGCTGCTCGCAGTAGGCCTTGTTCTTTTCGTTCACAAGACCTGAAAACACTCAGACTTACGACCCACTCCTGCCAGGGCGCCCTTAACTGCATCAACGTCGGAAAAAAGCTCGAAAGTAGCCTAGTGGGATGTTGAACACAATTATCCGTGGCTAGGTTCCCAAGACGCCCTCGATCACAAAGATGGGTTGCAAGGCGAGATCTGCAACCAATATTTCTCAGAGCATTCGTGCATCTACCTCTTCACTTCGCGGTTTCGATCTTGAGAGAGAGCAGTGGCGCATATGGGCATCGGCAAGTTAAGCACTGGGCAAGTTCTTGGTTGAAAGATGCCTGTAATTGAAATGGTTCCTGCTGCTAGTACATGAGACGTGCATGGCTCGTTCTGGCTCCCTGTCTCAAATTGCACCGAAGATGCCCACAATTGCCAAGCACTCCTTGGCTGTCGCCGGGCATCAGCTCTGACATGCAAACACACCTGCGACTACCGAAAGCAACTTGCTGAACAAGGTCCTTGACGCAGACCGTCTCACACGGTGGACGAACTCGCTGTCCAGTCTTCGGGTCGTAAACCAACTCGCCCTTGTCTTTGATTAGCCGTGCAGCCTCACGGGCATCAGCACTAGCTCTGCTGGAAGGGAGGAGTGGGAGGAGATGCAGCAAACGTAGAATGCATCGCTGCATCGCATCGTGCAAGGCGCATTTGCATCCTTTGCGCCCACGAGACCCGAAGCCAGCCCCAGCTGTATCAATCCTGCGCGTCGGCATCTCCAAATCAGCAGGGCACTCGCGTCGACTTGCCTTGTCGTCGGCGTAGGCTCATCGAGCTGTGAGAGAAAGAAATGTTGGCATCGGAGAACCTGCCGCTAGGCGAACCGCCGGAATGACAGTGACTAACAAACCGGTCAAGAATTCTTGAAGCGCATCAAGCCAGATTAACTGCTGCCCTAGTCACAGGAGGCAAAGGAAAAAACCCACTGCATAAAGTCCACGTGCTTTGCATGCAGCCATTCGCAGTCGAGTGCAAGGTATCAACGGTTTGCTCGCACTAGAATCCCATGCTACGCACCGATGCCTCTTCGAAGTATGCATGCTTGCAGGGCTGAGCTGGAAATGAACCGTGCAGTAGGATCTTGTCGTGCTGAGCCACATGACAGGTTGCAAGCACATGGCGAGCCGCGGCACGAACCGGAAACTCGAAGACTGGGCACGACTGAGGGCCTAGCTCCTTGGTCGGAAGGCTGGCCGCGGCGGCTGCACGTCCAGTTTTCAGAGCCTGCAAATTGTTGATACTTGGATCTTTCTTGTGCTGGTGCTGTTGCATGCTTAGCGGCCTAGCCCTGTGCTTGACCTAGTTAGGAAGGTTCTGTCGTCGGGAGGCCGTGTTTACATGTGATTTCGAGATGCAAGTTTGGTGCGATGCCAGCCATAACCCTCTCCCCTACTTTGCCATCCGCAGAGTGGCGGCCGGTTGCTTGGCATCGTCAGTCTCTCAATTCTGAGATCACTGGCACACGATGGAACAAAAGCTTGCTGCAACGATGTACCCATGCAAAATGTCGAAAGCTGCTCGGGTTGCGAGGTCCCGAAAAAAACTCCAGCAGACCTCAGGCTTTAGTATCAATCAGTCCTCTCAAAAGCACTTGCCCACCTGCCCAGGCCCGGAAGGGACATCGTCGCGGGAGAGCTTTGACACAGAACGAACTACTCGTTTCGCCCCGGAGGACCTGCCACTGCATGAGCTCACGTGGTCTGCACTCCAAACCACATTTCTCTACCGTGTCACGTGCTTGCCTGCAGCGCCAGCACAACACTGCCGCCAGCAGCAGCACCTGAGACAGTGCCACGGCGGCTACGGCGAAGCAGAGGGTGCTGCCAAATTGCCAAATCCGAGCTGGGCTCGGCACAGAAGCGGCACCGGCAACGATCCACAGGTGGGAACGAACAGCACCTTCTGTCTTACCTGAAACACGGTGCTCGGTCTCTCCGTGTAGCCGCAGTCTGTGTATGCGATTTCTCTCCGAGACAGGCGCCGATCACCTCTTCCATCGTCACGGCTGCCTGCTGCTCTGATCTTCCGGCAGGTCTTTTGAGCCCCTGTCATGCCTCGTCACGGCCCCTGGCTTGGCCACCACCGTGGAAGCCGAGCTCGAACTCCTCCTGTGAAACCTCACCGCTGCGGTTTTTCGGAGGACCTCAGCATACCTCAACCAGGCGCCGCACAAAGCCATCTCGATCTGCATCCAAGTACCTGCAGCAACTGTAAAGTCTTTCTAAAGCGCGGTCAGACGGAGCAGTAGGTGCACCGGAAGCTAGGCTGCCATTCTTCGCCAGCCTCACGGCACCGTTTGGGGGGCAGGGGTCTTGCCCCGGGCTCTTCAGAAAGCTCGGGCAGCCACGACTTGGATGCTCGAGTTCCCAACGAAGACCGACCACACCTCCAAAACCGCGGTTAGAGCGCAGCTATGCAGCCGCGGCCCGCACGCTCCAAGCTCGCTTTGCTCCCTTTGCTCTCCCACCCGGCCTCAGGCCACTCGGGCCTCGCAGAGCGGCGCCACACACAGCCGTCACAGCATGTTAGAGCGCATGGGCGAAGCACCAAGAAACCCCGTTTTTCTCTGCCCGGTCTTCTGCTAGAGCTTGCCAAGCCTGATCAGCTCGGAGATTTGCGAGGGGTCACATCAGTCTGCGTGCCCTCTGCGGCGATGACCCGGCTGGCATTTTGGTACTCCGAGCGCGCCTGGAGACAGCGATGTTGCGCAGGCAAGACTGCAAAGCACATACGCACCAAGCAAAGGAGCTCTCGGGAATCCGACCCGGGGACAGACTAGTGACTAGAAAGCAGAATCCAGTGCTGGCTATTGTAAATCCCAGCCGACTCCAACGCAAATGAGTTCAACTGCTCAACCGCGAAAATAGCACCGCTCTTCGAAGCCTTCATCTATCAATCCAGGCACTGGGGTCCCACACCCAACGGCTCCAGACTTGGACCTCTGCAGGAGGGAGAAGCTAAGTGCTGACGGCTGCCAACACAGTGTCCGGTGTCTCCTCTGCTGTGCACCCTTAGTTGATTGTTCGGCAAGCCTTAAGTTAGGTTCAATTATTCCTGCCTGCTGTTGCCAAGTGTAGCCTGGAGGGGTCCGAAGTGGGTAACACCGGTCCTGTCTTCTCAGATCCGATATTGGTTAGCTTCGAGCTTTGCTGGCTGTGGACCGCTGTATTGGCATGACTTGCTGTCATCACTTCCCCACTGCCTTCCACCTGCCTTGTTCAGGGCATGTCTACATCTGGGACTAATTTTGCGAAGCTGGGCGATGGGCCTGCCATCGAGCATCTTCCTCGTGGTACTCATGGCAGCCAGCCTCGAGCTTGCAACCGAAATGCCAGTCGATTCTTCTAATCGCAGAGAGAAGGGTGTCACGAGCTCTTGGGGGCTGGCAGGTGGCGAAGAGCATTCCAGGACTCGTTCGAAAGTGTACGCCTCAATGTGGCGCAGCGAGCTGTAGTCTGGAGTGCCTCCCTCCATCGCACTGTGTTCCGTGACGTTCCCGCTGTGGCTCCCGCACGGTACCAAGTTCCCAACTCTGGACTCGAGCTAATCGTTCTCTGCATCTCTGCTTCTTCCTCTCCCCGCTTTATATGACTTCGTGCTGTCCTCTTGTGGCGTTAGCTCGTTGACGTCTCCCCTTCTGTTTTTTGTCAGCCGAAGTCTACTCGCCACAGTGGCATAACGAGCAGTAAATCAGTAAATTCACTGAATTTAGCGGAACACGAGCCAACAGCTGACACGCACTAGGTGGAAAGGAGAAGACGGAAATGACCACGGTCGCTCCAGGATAGCACGATATACATCTACAAAGCCTTTGAGCGACAGACCGCAACCATTCATCAGGGGCTTCTGTGAATGCTACCAAGGCCCCTAGCTGACACAGAAACCGATGGATAGAAGAGACATCAACCAGTCTACTGCAAGCTGCGATGTTGAGCAATGGGGTCTACACAGCAGAAATGAAATACTGCCTACGCTCTGCCTAAGCCTAGAAGCCCCCAAGACATGAACTGTCATGAAAGGCTCAAGTGCAGATTATGCAGTACACATCTGAGACAAGAGCCAGGTGCACCCTGGCAATGCCGCTGCTTGTGGTCGTCGCAAAACTCAGTCGCAAAACCCAGAGCACTGAAGCTTAACGCAGTTTGTCATGAAGCTCCGGACGCTCCCATCTGCAATCTGTCTGGTGAGCTGCTTGGCTCCAAGCGATAGCTTCATTGGAGCCGTCAGAGCACCAAGCCTTTTTTTAAGCGGGGCCTCAACTGTCGCGAACATGGCTCTGGACCGAGCCACAGGCAAGTACAGGCTAATGTTAGCCTCGGCGGGAGTTTGCAGATGCTCTTATGTTCGGCCTGGCTGCCCTAGGCTCCGGAAACAGCGCTGGTCTGCAACTCCACAAGTGCAGCGCGCTCGACAAGTTTCCTGAATAAACGATGCCAACATCCTGGCCAAGCTGAAGTCGGATCTCCGAAAACGACACATTCGACTTTCGACAGCTGCACCCTTACCAGGCCTTGTAGACTCCAGCACGGACAGAACCATTGATGAGGCCGTGATCTGCGCTGCGTTTTGCTCAAAGTGTCTCACGAGGCTCGCGATGGATCACATCTGAAGCAACTTTCCGCCTTGAGCGACGACCACAACATCGGATGCCTGGGATCATTCGCAGCAGCCGATGCGTCTTCATCCGGCTGTATGAAAAAATGCGATGCCACTTTGACGGTTGTCTTTTCGACATCGTAAGAGACAAGTGCCAGGCCGCATCGCGAAGCTGCAGACGAACACGTCCCGTGCTGGAGTTTGCCGTGATCCGAAAGCCTCCGAACCGTTCTCCAATGACAACGACTATCTGTTCTCGTGGAGGCCGGAAAGCAAGACAAGGCAGGCAGCCTTCCACTCCAAGCGGGATTGTCAAGGGTACGCCTGTAAGAGCATGCGGGACTGCTTCATCTGGTGGAAACAGATTCAGATCGTGCTGAGTGTCTTGCTCTGATTTGCCGGCACCGTGAGGTAAGTGTTGCCGAAGCCCCCACCGCAACCTGTCATTTGTGGCCAGAAACTGCTCCCACAAAGCCTCATCTAGCGTGGTACCACATGGTGCCGGAAATGTCCAACAACAGCCAGGCAGACTAAAGACGATTGGCGAGCTCCGGTATGTGTTTTTGGGGCACGCCTGCTGAAGCGAACACTCCCTGGACAACACATGCTGGCCGTTTGTTTCCCCCATCTCCTCCAGGGCAGTAGAGAAGGGCAAAGCGCACAGGCATCTGTCAAAGTCACCAGGTTGTAGGGAACTCTTCGGAAGTTAAGAATTGTCTGTAAGCAACGCACGTTGTGGCCACAAACACAACCTGCATTCCAGTAAGACTTTGCATGTCTGCTCGTGTATAAGTCAAAGCTTTGCATGGTGGCACCTGGGAAAATCGACAAGGGGCCATTGCCGTCAGACGAGGCGCTGGGCCATGGCGCAGAGACTCTGCATGACCACGGGTTGGGTAGAATATGGTAAACTAAACTTAGCGTGGCCTATGTAACGTGCTGTCAGACAGGACATGGGCGGAACATGGAGCTTTTGCTCGGGATGTTGAGGATATCCATGACATGGAATCCATGATATCATGTCAGTAGTTGGTCAGCAGCATGGCTGTGCTGTCTTGGTGCCTGGATGTGCATCAGTCATACCCTATTCTCGCTGCGCTTCTTCGGATGCAGGAAGCCACATACAAGCATACGGTTCGGCCAAAGTAAAGCTTGCAACCCAAGCTCCAGCTGGAGGGACCACGCAGATGAGAAAGTGGTTCTTTCAGGCACCGGCCAACGGTGCCGGCTGTGAGATGGCACGTCTTGTGCAGCAGGCACGCGTGGCCCGTCTACATCTCCAGCTTCTCAATGGTCAAGCACAAAAGATGGGCAGGTTGGGATGCAGTTAACTCCTGATGGCAAGCGCTCACTACCAGAAGTTCAGTACTGGATCACAATTAAGCATACTTAAACATGTTGTCATGTTGCGACACCTGCACTTGGCGCGCATAACCTGCACGGGCAGCTATTCTGCAGCTGCTTCACGTCAGCCATTGCGCTTAAAAGCGCATGGCATGCTATGCAGCTTGATGCACATGCAGGGCCACCACACAAACTGGCGGCAACGGTGGTTCAGGAAGACGCAGTCTCCACCGGTAGGCATAGCTCCGTCTGTTAATTACTGGGGGGGAAAGGAGACTGCTGCGAGAAGCAATTTTGAAATTGTATCGTGCAGCCAGGATTAGTAGTCGTCGTCGTCGTAGTAGTAGTTGTTGTTGTTGTTTTTGCCAGCAACTTGGCACGCCAATGACAGCACTGCCGGAGCCCAGAATGAGGCTGTGGGCCTGTGAGTGGCTGCGAGGAAGCTGGAGAGCTGAGGCAGCCCAGCTATGATTAGCTTTGATGTGCAGTGTCGGCCTCCCTTGTAGTCAAGCTGATATGCATGGGTATGCTTAAGACTTCTCGGTTGGCTTCACAGTCGGTGGCTGACTGAGACCACACATCGGATCGCCCAGATTTTTGTGCACCATTGCCGGAACTTTGCGATTGCTGAGACCACTGTGCATCATGCTGTGGGGGGCATTTTCCCCTCTGAAGTAAAACTCCAATGTGCCTCGGTGCGGATACAGACGTCTACAGAGGAGCCGTTTTGGTGGCATGCATCAAGCCATCCATGTTTCTACCTCAAGGAGTCTGGCTGCAGTTAGCGCACCTGTATTCCAGGCCAGTACTCTCCATCCTGGAGGGGGTGCGGGTCAGCAGAATTGGCGGCGGGGGTGGTGCATGACCCGTTGAGGCTGCGGCTTGATCTGCCTTGGGACGTTGTTGTGCCGTTGAGTTTTGCACGCCTTATTGCGATATGATTCGATAGGATCGTTTTCCCGCATATGTTAGTTGTGTATAAACAGCTGGTCGGATGGGGGTGGTCTGCCGGCTGTTGTGGGCATCTTCGCGAGGCTTCACTACTAGAAATGAGGCTTCCGGGGACTCGCGACTCGCGGCTCCTCCCCCTACCCTCACGTCTGTGGCAACAGGCGACGCATCTGCTAACAGCATGAGGTCAGCAGGAGCCGGGTGGCTCTAGCTCCGAGCTAGCTTTGCACCCCGACTCCGGGTTCCTATTGGAGCCTCCGCTGCAGGAAGGAGCCGATGCTGCATGGTGACGGAAATGGCCTTGCAACACGTCTGCGTGGGGCCTCCGTACGCACTGATCGATCAGCAAAAAGCTCAGGCGTGCAAGGAGTCTGGAACGGCTTTGCAGGCCTTGCTGGACGCTGAAGTGCCTGTGAGGACTGTTCAAGGCCGCTCCTTCTCTCCCGCATCTACGGTGGTAGGGGCTTTAAGGGCGCACTTCACGCGAAGACCGACGACAGCTGAGGGAGATAGGGTTATGTTGTTCGAGGCCATAGCCTTACCCGGGCGGGTCACGCGACCAGACGATGACAACATCGCGACACACCTTTCATGGCATGAGAGTTGTGGACTGCGTCCCAACCGTTGGAAATAGTCCACTTGGCGCCTCCGAGTTTAGCCCTTCTTGCCGCCGCTGAGGAAGGGCAGCGGAAGCCGGATTTTCAAAACCGGGGTAGCTGAAGAGGGTTTGCCTTGAGAACGTATCCGACTAACGCCAGCTGTTGTTGCGATCAAGCAGCACACCCCGCCGTGGCGTGCCTGCGCCTTGCAGGCATAGCGTAGTTACCACCATAGCCAGGAAAGGGAAGCAAACTACAGCGTTGCGACTCTGCTGGACTGCTGCTCGCGCCCGCCGTGCGCCAAAACAGTCCGTGCGCTTTGCTGCTGGGTTTTGCCGGGTACAACAGCAAGGCCTTTTCTTGAGCAGGGACTGCAATGCACTAAGCCCTGAATCCCTTCAGCCAAGCTCCGAGCGGCAAGGCCTTGACCCGCTGGTTTTGATTTCAGGTCGCGTCCGAGTGACGCTTCTTTCAGTCGTGGTAGTAGGGTAGCAATAGTAGCACCGAGGGTTAAGAGTCCTCGTAGCAGCAGTAGTAACTGCAGTATTCTACAGTGCTCTTGCGACACACTGCTGCTAAACTAGTTCACACAGATTTCGCTAGGGTATGCAGGTACTGCAAGGGAGTTTCCAGTGCTAGCGAGCTGCTGTTTCTGACGGTGACAGGACCTGGGTATTTTCAGGCTATGCGAGTGCATTGCACGTGGTTGTCAAAACCCCAAAGTCAGAGCACACACGAAATCAGCACCACCTACATTCGCGGAACCCTCGAAGAGACACTACTAGTAGCAGAGTGTCCAGAGTCGGGAATGTAGGGCTGTTGCAAACAGCTGCTACAGAGACACTAGCAAGAATGTCTAGGAGTCGGGAGTGTAGGGTTGTTTCAAGCAGCTTCTGAAGACAGCGCAGTCAATCCCAAGCACCAGTGCCACCAACTTGAATTTCAAACAGCAGTGTGAAACCAGAACAGGGCATTCACTCAATTGTGACTCGTCTCTGCCGGAGGCGTGCCAAGAGATCATTGCCTCCAGCCTGGATGCCTTGGCCGCAGCAGATCTCCATCGGTGAAGGAGCTGTGTTCACATGTTGTCCCTATGCAGTTTGCCTTGAGAAGCAACTACAAGTTGTGACGTCTGCATCTATGGCAGCCCTGTCCGAGAAGGGGACTTGCGAAGCCCTGGGCAGCATCAGCACTTGCAGCGACTCTGTAGATGCAGGAGACACTTGACAATCCAAGAAACTCCTGGTTTCCTTGGCTTCTCTTCTTGCGCCCTCTTCTTCCATTTGGACTCAGTGAGACTCCGTCAGCATCCGGCCCGGCTCAGCTCTTTCCAAGAAGCAGGCCGGTTGGTTGGGCTTTACACCATAGCCCATGCGCTCTGCGAGGGTCTTCAGCTCGTGCACTTCGTGATCCTCCACAGGCTTCAAACGGCTCAAAGCCGACTGAAAACCAATGCCGGAAAGCATACCCCACAGCTCCTCGACCTCTGGTGCTTCGTCTGATGCCTGTCGAATGACATTATGGAACCTTGACTAACCACGCGCAAGGCTGCTTAGCATAATGTCCTGCCTCCTGCAATTCCTGCAGTGCGAGAATCTGCTTTGGCTGGAGCTCCTGCATGCAGTGAACATCCGTAAACGATCTCCTCGACCTTGCTCTACCGACGGTGCATCATGGATGCACGATGACCCAGCATCGCCTCTGAGTGACGCCGCCTGCGAGCTCGAGCCAGTGCCACTTCCTGAGCTCGCGATGCGTGATACGCAAAACCTTCGCTTCAGATGACTTGGTTTCAGATGCCGGCCATCTGCTCGACGCTTCGGGCATGCTGGTTGATTTCACGGGTCTCCCTGGCACTGATGGGATTTCTTCGTCCCCCAGAGCAGGCAACGCAAGCTTGGACTCGCCTGAAATAGCTCAATGCACTCGACCGGCGCTCGGCCATCTCATCCTCCGAGAGCAGGCGCACACCTCGCGCAAGAAGCGGATGCAAAGAGCATACCTCGCTAAGATGAGGAGAAAGCCGAGGCCGGTGCTGCATCGGTCCATCGGCTCCTCCTGTTGTGATTGAAAAGAGAGAGAGAGAGAGAGAGAGAGAGAGAGAGAGAGAGAGAGAGAGGAGAGACAGAGAGACAGAGAG